AGAGTTGTGTGTGAAGGGGTTAATATGCCTACTGGTGACTAGTTCAATAGACAGGTCACTAATAATAGGCTTGGGACTGTTTATTAGAAACAACAACATACATGACGACATAACAGCAACAGAGCTCTCCGGCACCTCCGACAGTATGCACGACTCTGGCGAGCTCGACGAGAGGAGATTTGCTGCATCTCCGAAGTACAACAACATAAAATATTCAAATGTGGCGCTACGGACGGCGGCGGAAGTGAGCAAGAGGGTCGGAATTCAGGGAGCGATGTGATGGCGGATGTAGTGTGTCCCAATAGTATGCATACTGCATGCACACTGCATACTACACTACATACTTTTTAAGGGCAGCTGCAGTACATACTAAAAGTATATAGCAGAAGTATGCGATTTGGAACGCAGGGCTGGTGTTTTTGTTTGGCGTGGTCCGCAGTTTGGCCTATGCGACGTGGCTTTGCTTGTCTTTGTGTGTGGCCATTATAACCGTTCTGCCCCTCTGCCTTGTGGCGTGGCGTGTGGGCTGAAGTTGTCCTCATCATGCAGATTCACTTCTGGAGGTAGGCCGGCTTATCTTCAAATTTTCCGGCAGCTTTCATCTCATCCACAGCTTAATGTAACTCCTTATGGTCTCTTAACCGTGAACCGTGGCTCACTCTCTGTCATCCTCCTCACTTTTGAGGAAGCTGTGCCTCTGAGCTCCGGTATGTATATGCTCGTTTTAATTATTTTAATGCATGTTTCACTGCGGGCATATTCATAAGTTTGATTTGGGGTCTGTGTGTGTGTGCTTTGCAGGTGCGCCTTTGCCCGAGTGCGCACCGCAGAGCGGCGCGTCCGACACTGCAGCTCTCTTAGCCCTGAGGGCTTTGTTTCGGGCCTCCGCCTGCAACCTCACAGCCTCCGGCGGTTTGTCTCCGGACCCGCCTCCACAGGCTTTCACTGCGCCTTTCAATGAATGTTAACCTGCAACTAAGTTCCTGCTGTGTGGGTCCACACTATCATGTGTTAAGCCCCGCGGCCCGGTCCGCGTGCGCCACACTGATGCATCCAATTACATAATGTACTGGCATGTGTTTTCTTTTCCTTAAAATTATTTGTTTCTAATTATGATGCTTTTTTGCTTGCTTTGGTTTGTTCATTTCTAAAGATTTGTTTTGCCTGAGTATTTCCATTCTTGTTTCTTTTGATTCTATTTCCTTAGACATTTTGTTTCTTTGGATCAACTGTGGGTTGTGTTGGACAATACTATTGCTGTATTAAGTTGGGTTTTTGCATCGTTAAGGTGGATGGGATGTTTTCCTGTAGCAAACTAGTGAGTGTATTGGTGTGTATTTAATCCAAAAATGTTTATTGTTGGACTTATCCCTTTAAAAAAAAGATGTTAAATAAAATTCTGTTGTATTTGTATAAAATTTCATGTCTGCGTCAGGGTGTTTGTTCGAACCTGTGCCCCTTATAAATAATTTCCTGGGTTTGAAATTTTGCCTAGCTGTGGTAAAACAGAGGAAATTACACTTCCTAATATCCTGTTAGACACTGATGCATATTGTAGTCAGTGTTTAATCCTCCAAATCATGGCTTTTACCATTAAGCAAACTAGCAAGAGACAAGTCTTCTTCATCCAGAGAGCTAACCAGCCTCCTCTTCAGATGCTCCAGCATAACTGATGCCAGGCAGTAAGATTTATGAAAGTATTGCCACTGCAGGCACTGCATCATTGGGCAGTGACTCACATCGTTGATGTCACCAACTAATAATTAAATTTGTTGCCATCTTATTTAGAGATAGATTTTTGTCAACTTTCTAGATTTTCTGTTGCACTATTTAGCTCACAGCTGAACTGCTGCTCCCCGTAACTTTGAGTCAAGTTTGTCATCTCTGGGATGGCTCTTCTGCCAATTGTTGCTGTCTGGGCAAACTAAGGGACCTTTTATAATGAGAAGGAGGAAGTGCTGAAAGAGACATGGAATAAACTTAAAGACACATGAAATCACAGAGAGATGCGCAGCTACTACAAACAGATGCAGAATAACAAAAATAGGCCTAACTAAAATTAGGTTTGTGTGTCTTGCGCCTATGTAGGAGAGGTGGTGGGGCCTCCTTCATGTCTGTGCCCAGGGGCACATTGTCTCATAATCCGCCCATGGTTGTGACAACAAAGTTAAAACTTTGCCATTTTTTTTTAAGCTCGTCGCCATCATTGTTGTGTAGCGGTCACTTGGGTAATCTGTGTTTCTCATGTTTCATGAGATGAGGGAAATGGGTCCATCTAGCATATCGGACTGTAGAATACACACTGTCCACATTTCACTCAGCTGCTCTGCTGAGGAGCAACCATAAATTGTCTTTCATACACCTGACTTAAATACATACCACCTTTTATTGAACATCATTCACAGGAAACTTTCAACCCTTTGCTTTGGAGAAGGATTGAGTTGTTGAGATTTTATGTTAACGTGTTAGAACAAGACCTGAACAAATGTTTATTAGAAGTTAAACACAGTGACTAAATCAGATTAACGGGGACGAAGAAAGTCTGAGTACAGTAATGCAACAAATACTAATTACATTTAAAACCCAGTTATAACTGAATTGATGTAAAAAGAAACACATAGTTAAATGAGAGTAAAGATAATTAAAAAACAAATTAATTTGATTCCCACTGTACAAATCTTGTTCTTTCTATACTGTTTTTTTTTTTGTTTTTTGTTTTTTTTTTTGCACTGTGACCATATTGAGCTATGTAATTAACTCTCAACATTAATGATAACGACATAATTGGAGGGAGGCTATCACTGTTTTAACCCTAAGCCACAGTTTCATATCTTGGTCTAATTAAACATTTGTCAGTGATCCTGTCACTGGCTCCTCTAAAGCACACCCCTTTACACAGAATCATTTTGAATACCAAGAAAATTTACATTTGTGGTTCCTCTTTCCATCATCCTTTATTGTCACTGTAGCATAGTTATGCCATTTAAACAAATAGGTGTCTGCTGTTTATTACGACAGGTCAGTATTTCATAAAATCCAAATATTTGAAATAGACCCAAGGGCATTTCCATTACTCAATAGTGTTTAAAGCATCTCTTCGAGTGTCCCTCATGTACAGTCAGCCTCAGGGATGGGTGCATTTCAATTAGTGACATTTTGATCTCCTGATATGTTTGGACACTGTAATGAAGCAAAACAAGTCCTGCCAGTTAACAAAAATCCAAACTTTGGCTCTCTCACAGCGATCTTTTCACTTGTTGCTTGTTACTGAAGAAGGATAGTTGTCTGTGTTGGTTGTGTCAACTTGTTAATAATTCTGGGAACATCAGATGAGTTACGGAGGCTAAATGTTGCACAGCAGCGTCTTCTGGCGTGTGGTTTTATAACGGCAAAAAAACTGATCTTACTTTACTGGAAAAAGAAAGAGGTGCCCTCCTTCAAGCACTGGTTGACTGACTTGACAGACACCTTACATTTGGAAAGAATTAGATTTATTCTGAAAGATAAATTGAAGGACTTTCATAAAATTTGGCGACCTTTGGTCTCTCATCTCAAAAGAGAATCTAACTGAGACTCTAGTTTAAATGCACTCCTAGGGAGGGTTGGGTGGGTGGGGGCCTGGGGGGGGGTATGCTCTATTGTTGTTTATTTTTGTTGTTGTTGGTTTTTGCTAGGATGATGGTTTTGTTTGCTTATAATTTGCTACTTGTCTCACTTGTCATGTTTGTCAGGGAT